TATCTATATCTATATATCTATATCTATATCTATATCTATCTATCTATAGATATAGATATAGATAGATAGATAGATAGATAGATAGATAGATATGGTATTTAGCTTTGTTCGGGTATTTTCCCATGTCATTATAGTTGTGCTTTTAAAGTTGTAGCAACGTTTCGGCAGATTGTCATCTTCCATCATCAGGCTTCTGTATTGTGTTCGTCTGTGAGTCAGACTTTTACAGTTGTTTCGTCTGACTCGCAGACGAACACAACTTTACAACTTTAAAAGCACAACTATAATGATGTGGGAAAATACCCAAACAAAGCTGAATAATATATATATAATTGATAGATACACATTATTTATTTATTTATTATTATTTTAGATAATGTATACAGCCCTGGCTCACAGAGACTCCAGGAGGCTTACAGATAACGACACAACGTAGGAAAAAACAAAATCAAAATCAAAATAATTTTTAAAAAAGCCCCTCCCACCCTTCCCTAACTTCCCATCATTAGTCAGGCAGGGTGCCAATCCCGGTGGAGCCCCTCCTCCCCCTCCGAAAGTGGGGGGAAGGGGTTGGAAAGCGCCCGCCTCCCCGCTCCCTTTCCAGCCCCTCCCTTTGGCCCTCCCTCTCCCCCCCCCCACCCTCCCCGCCCTCCCTCTCCCGCATGGGAGTTGTAAACAGTTGCCTCCCCCTTCTTTCGGCAGGCCCCGCCCCCTCCCGGCCTCCCGCTCGCATCTCATTAGCATAGATTAACGCCGGCGGAGCCGGAGTGCAGGTGCGGAGCCGTCGAGAGGGAGAGCGCGAGGCGGCAGAAGGGAGCGCGGCAGGATGCGGTCGGCGCGGAGCTGCAGGCACTCGCCTTTGGCGGCCGCGGCGGGGATTTTGCTGCTGTGCCTGGCGGGCCGAGGTAAGCGCGGCGGCGGCGGCGGCAGCGGAGGCGGCTGAGGCGGCTCCGTCTCTCGCCCTGCCTCGCCTCCTCCCCGGGTGGCTTCCCTTCCAACCTCGCCCGCTCGTGTCCTCTAACCGCGAAAGCGGCGCTCCTTGCGGGAAGCCGGGGAGGAGGACGAGGAGACCCGGAGCGGAGCAGAGCCGAGGCGAAAGACCCAGCCGGGCAAGGGAACCGCAGCTGGACCCGGCGCTCCCCTCCCCGTCGCCCTTTCTTTCTCCCCCGCATCGGGCTGACCCTAACGTTTCTCCCCCGGCTCCCCCGAAGACGGTTGCAGCAGCGAAGGGCCGCGTGGGGCTGGAAGGGGGCCGAGGGGGAAGCGAACAATGACCGAGCGCTCGCTCGCTCGCTCGGCCGGGGCGCGCTGCAGGGGCCGCGCTGCGCTCAGCCGCCCGGCGAGGCTTTTGTTAAGACGGACCAGCGTGGCTCTCTCTCTCTCTCTCTCTCTCTCTCTGTGTGTGTGTGTGTGTGTGTGTGTGTGTGTGTGTGTGTGTGTGTGTGGTGGGGTGCGCTCGCACGGGGTGTCCCGTTCCCACTTCGCCGAGCCACGCGTGGATGACTTCGAGGGGTCCCTTTTTTCCCCCCGATTCTCTGCACGACAGAGGGAAGGGGGGGTTGCATTGCAAGCCCCCCCTCTAGCCCCCCCTCCCTCCAAAAGATCGTTCCTTTCTTTCAACTCCTAAAATTAGATTTTGGGGAGCGGGGAAAGGGGAGGGGGGACAGGTCTGGATTCCGTGCTTGCTTGCGCCTATTGCGGAGTAGAAGTGTGTATGTGTCTCTCTGTGTGAAAACCTCACAATTTCTGAAGCCCCCCCCTCCGTTTTTTTTTCCCCCCCCCCCCCGGGCCGTTTTTACAACGGGGCTGCCTTTGGGGGGTCCGGGGGGGGGGGGGGGGGGGGAAGGAGGGTTGCTTGTTTGGTGGTCGCTTCCTTTTGTTGGCGTCTAAATTGTGCTTTTGTGTTATATTGTATATTATTATTATTATTATTATTTTGCATCCGGCTCCGCTCAAATGGATCGTGGGGCTAAAAAAAAAAAAGGCAGCTAAATAGCTACATCATCTCTCTTCTACCCCCCTTCTCTCTTTCTCTCCCTCCACCCCCCCTTTTTTCCCCCTTTTGCCCTCATTCTTCTCTCCCAGCAGCAGTAACCGGGTGCCTGCCACGAGTTCCCCCCCCCCCCCCCCCCCCCCCCCCCCCCCCCCCCCCCCCC